AGTTACTCTACAACACAACCGGAACAGCCTCGTTCTCATGGTTCCTGGCTGAGGAAGGAATCCCAGCAGAGCCAGGCCGCCTAAGGCTGATTTAAGCAGCTCCCTAAAAACGGACAAGCAGCATTTTGTCAGCATTTTATTTGCAAAGAGGAAACCACATACCGTGGCTCACCCTGCCCTGGGCCCCTGTGGCTCACTGTACAGAACAAAAGGAGAAGGAGCAAAAGGTGGCCAGTGCAGGAATTCTGGTGGAATAGGTATGGGCTTTGATCCTGGTCATTGTTTGTTTTCATGTTATTTCTGAAAAGAGGGCACTGAGAAATAAGAACAATCGCTGCTTCTTCCGGGCCGCCAGTGTTTCATCTGTGAATAGGAGTGGTCCTCTCCCCTTGGGCCCAGGTGAGCTCTGTGGCTGCCTGATCACTGGGATAGCATGGAAATGACCTTGTGCAGGTGTTCAGGCCCAGACCTGAAGAAGCTAGCAGCTTCCCCTTCCTGTCTCTTGAAGCATTGTCTCTGGGAGACTTCACCTTTCCTGTACGATGTCTGACTTACCCCGAGGCTGCCATGCTCCCAGAAAGGCCAAGCTGGTCAACAGGAAGCCTGGAGGTGGGGGAGAGATGGGAAGGAGTGAGGGAAAGAGATGTGTGCAGCTCCCAGCTGAGGTGCAGAAACCAGAGAGCAACTATAAGCCACCCCCTTCATGCCCTGTCTGAATCCCTGCCTCACAGAATCCTCAGCTATAGTAAGTTATTTTAAGCCACTAGGTTTTGGGGTAGCTTTTATGCAGCAATCAATAAATGAAACAGGGACTTCTAAAAGCCCTTCCAGCTCTCATGACTGACCTTCGTGCATCTGTGGCCCTCCGCTTCCTACCCCATCCTCATCAGGGCAGCCAGATCCAGAGCTGGAGGGCTGGGTGCTGTGTGTGTTAGACCTTCATTGTCTGAGTCTTCCCCATATAACAAGATTTTCATTTGAGGAATCACCCTCCTTCCCCACTCTCAGTTCACATAGAAGGAGGGAAACCCCCACCCATTGCCCCAGGAGTAATCTCACCCCCTAGGCCCACCGGCCCGATCGTCCTTCTGATCAGTGATTGATTCAGGGGTGGGTAACTGACTTACTCGGAGCCAATGAGACACAATGAGGCTTTTGCCAGGAATGGTGGAGAAGAGGCGAGCTTCCCAACACCCGACCATCACCACCAGCACCACCACCACCAGCACCACCACCACCAGCACCACCACCACCAGCAGCACCACCAGCAGCAGCACCACCACCACCAGGCTGGACACAGAGAAGAGGCAGGTGGAGCAACAGCAGAGACTCATTCTGAAACAGGAGCCAACACAATGGGAGCCAAATCCAGGAAAAGCAAAGAAAGAGGACTGATGACATCACTGGATTCCATCAGGCCAGCCCTATCCATGGACTTGTCAGGACACAGAGCAATACATTCACACTTTGCTTACGCGAGTTTGTGTTAAGTTTCCTGATACTTGGCTGCTGATGAAACTCCTGACAGTTCATGGAGCAGCAGCATTACTGGCCCTTGCTCTCTTCCATTCCTAGCCAATCAGTTGTCAGTGCAAAGAAAGAAATCTTCTTAAAGGGGAGGAAAAGTCCTAGAGGCAAAAATTTTAAGCACATCGGGGCTCCAATTTCTAGTCTTCAAAATGAAAAGACTGGACTGATATGTCCAGGAAAGGAAGGATTCTAACATCCCTAGGATTCTGAGTGCAACTTTTCCATGCTATTCACTGCCACACATAATCATGAAAAACTGGAGGTAACCCAGCAGACTGGCATCAATGGGTAGCTAAGCAAACTACCTTAAGCACAGGGGGAAAATACTAAAGCCAATGAGTGGTAAGTTTGGGGACTATGCTACTGACTGAAAATGTGTTCATAAAATAAAACACTAAATGAATAAGTCGGCCACAGACTAGTTAAATAAATGTACTGTATTTAGTAATAAAATAAAAGGAAGAAGAATAACACAGCAGTAGTGGGTGGTGGAGGAGATGGACACAGTGAATGAAATAATCCAGAATCCAAAAGCTGGCTCCAGCTGAGGTCTGATGGGCTAACCATGGTGTCTATCACTAGAACAAACTTCATGCATAATTATCCAGAGTCAATGAGTATGTGGCTGACCCGACCCAGGTTCTAAGCACAGTTGGGTTTACTGGCAGTGCCAAAGGAAAGTGAAAGCTGCCAATTACCCAGATGAAACACTTTGCTCTGTAAACCTCACCCCACAACAGCCCTTGACCTCAGCATGCACTTGGGGCTATGGCCCATTCCACAGGAAGGAAGGGTAGCTGCACCTGCTGCCATCAATGAGCCTATTCCAGCCAGCACAGGCCACAGACATCAACCTGCCGCTAACACCATGAATAATGGAAAAGACCAATGCTCTCCAGGCAACCACCAGCACTGTCTACAATCTGCTGAACTGAGCTCAGGACAGAAATCGAACAGCAGGAAATAGGACAGCTGCAGAATTCATGTTATATTAGAGGCATACGGCGCAATTCCTAAAGGAAAATAAATTGTACAGCAAGAGCACTTGGATGGATGATGCCTGAGTAGAGCAAGGGCCTGAGATTTATCAGAATGGCTTGCTGAAGAAGGCCAATAATAATCATTGTGAAGTAAATTACACAACCAAATAATGATGATCTTGGCCCAGAACTGCTTAAGGCACACAATGATCCCCAAGCCATGCAATCAGGGCTGCCCCTCACTCCGGGTGCACAGAGAGGGCCACCCCAACATGAATCAGAAAACCTGGATCTGAATCCCACCTCCACTCTCCAGCTGAGTCTCCCAGTACATGACATCCTCTGACTCTCAGCTTCTCGTCTGTAAAATGGGTAAATAAATCAAAACATTCAAGGCATAGTACGTGCAATGAGTGAGCACGCCGGTTCAGTTGGGGTTACGATCGTGCTACCCTCGTAATTCAAAACACAAAAACCATGTTGAAACAGGCAGGTCCAAAGACAGTTTCTCATCAAATGCCTGTTAAGACCAAAGTACATGACTTCCAAACTAAGAATGATTTCCTGTGGTTGTTGTAACTGGGGACCTTTCTCCTTCCAGTCAGTGTGGCCTGACTGGTCATCTCCACGCTCAGGGCAAATACTCAAGGCAACTTCTTGACCTGACACTATTCAGTTACCACTGGAAACAGCTCTAAGTTGTGAGATGAGGATAACAACCTTTGCTCTGCCAAGATCAGAGGTTATTAGAAGGCCATCACAGAGATGATGCCAGTGAAAATTTCCCATTGTGAAGCTTTAGTTCACATGGAAAGTGAGCATGTTCATGAAGGTGGGAGCTGACTCAGTCACTTCTACATACAATTCCCCTTCCACCCACCCCGCCCCTGCTGACACTCTCCTGGCATAAAAAAACACAAATATTTGCAGATTAAAACTATGCAGGCTTATTTGCAAAGGGGAGATACTAACTTGCTAAAAATTATAGTTATCTAGGAGTTGATGGGACCTGCTAAATATGAATTACTAATGTCAAAAAACTTGACTGCTGTAAAGGACACATTTCACTGTTTTCAACAAATCATTCCTAAGCAGCATGCGAGGGATGGAGCAGTGACAAGAACGACACAGGATCTGTCCTCGTGGGAAGTACCTTCCATGGAGAAGGACTGACATTGTTGAAGTACAAGCCAGAGGTGCAGATGTGGGAGCAAAACAAACATCTGGCTTCATGGATGGCAGGAGAAGACCTGAAGGATAAGGAGAGGGGGAGGGAAGAGAGAGCGCGTTCCCAGGCCTGAGATGAAGAATGAGTAAGGCGAAAGGACCTCGAGTGGAGAGACAGGAAGACGGTGGAGGCAGAAGATGAGGTTGGGAGGTGGGCAGAGGCCAGGGGTCCTTAAAGACATGCTAACTGGGGTGATTTTTAATGTAAGGATAATGGGAGCCATGAAAGGTTCTAAGCAGAGGAGTGACAGGATGGGACAAAATGGTTTGTGAGGACAGCACTGTCTTGGCTGGTTTCAAGGCACTTCAGTAACTACAAATACCTCTCGGTACTAGACACAGATATCATATGGCACTGAGATATAAAGAAAAACAATTAAACATTGTGACCAATCGAGACAGAGCTGACCTCATCTTCTGACACAGCCTAGACATTTCACTCGTTACTTTGTTGTTACATTTATTGGGGTGACATTGGTTAATAGGATCATGTAGGTTTCAGGTGTGGATGTCTATGTCACAAGATCTGCATATTGCACTGTGTGCCCACCACCCAAAGTCAAATCATTTTCCATCACCACATATTATGGCCCCTTCACTCCGCAGCCCTTTCCTCTGGCCACCACCACATTGTCGTTGCGTCCATGAGTTTCAGTTTCTTTTCCCACATATAAGTGAAATCATCTGGTCCTTAGCTCTTTCTAACGGACTTATCTCACTTAGCAGAAGTCATCCCTGTTTCGCAAATGGCATAGCTCTGTCTTTCCTTATGGCTGAGTGGCGTTCCACTGTTCCTACGTGCCCTACCCCACCTTCTCTATCCAGGCCTCTGTCACAGGACTGGCTGTCTCCATGTCTCGGCCACTGTGCGTAACGCTGCAGTGAACACAGGGGTGCATATATCTTTGCAAATCCATGTCTTCAAAGTTTGGGGGTAGGTACCCAGAGGCGAGATGACTGGGCTGTGCAGCAGCTCTATTCTTAATTTTCTGAGGAACCTCCAGACTGTTTTCCATAGTGACTGTGCCAGTCTACATTCCCACCAGCCGTGAGTGAGGGTTCCCTTCGCTCATTATTCTTAATAATCATAATCCAAGTTTATCTCTCATAAAATGGAAGTGTGGAAATAAAACTTGCTTAGTTTCCTGGCTGTTTAAGTTTGGATAAAAGAAAATTGACTCATTTATTACTCAAACCCCCATTCGGTTTCATAAGAGAAGGACTTGAGACAGTTTTACAATAAAAATGTAAAAGGAGACCAACCAAAATGTATCCCAAGGCGAAGGGGAGCTCACTGTTGTCCTTCTGCACCCCCAGAGGCATCTCGATCAAAAGGCACAAGGCTTGGAGTCTATGAGTAAAGAATTGAGGGTGAGGGGGTGGATGAAATAAAGGTGCAAAATCAGTGTCCAAACTCATCTCTGGACGAGACCCTCTCCCTCAGGAGGCAGAACAAAACAACGGAAAAGTAAGTAACTCGATAGCAGTAAAGACACAATACTATGTCTTTTGAAAACAGAGGACACAGCCAAAAATTCATTCCGTCTAAGACACATGCACACAAGCACAAACATGGGCACACGTGCACACACACAGCCATTCAAGAAGCCACTGGATTCTGACCTCTATTCCCTTTGTCCCTATGAAGCTCAGTATAAGTGATTGAGGCTCCAAGCCCAACAGCAAAACATCCAACATAAAATTCACAAGTTCGGAAGCCACATTCCGAGTAAGCACCCGCACCCCATCCTCTCCCCCAACCGGTGAGAGGAGTGCTTATGTGCTTCCCCCCGGCTTCAAAATGAACCCTCCCAGCCCATCTGCTCCCCCAACCTCGACAACAGAATGTCACTTTACACACAGTCACTATCAAGGTGCTGCCTTTGGAGGTGAATAATGATCACCAGTATCAAGGGTGCAGCTTCAGACGCTACAGGGAGAATTTCTGGAATGACAGGACTTGATAACTGGAAGAGCCCCTGGACACCCCCAACGTCATCATGTCACAGCACACAAAGGAGAGTGACAACATGTGTATGATACTGGGGTGAAGAGGAAGAGGCTTCCAGGCCCAAAGTAACCAGTCCCGGAAGCCCCCCAACCCATCCATTCCCCCTCCCATCTATAATCCATCCATTGCCCCAAACTGGAAAGCTCTGCCTGAAGGAATGACCGAGTTCAACTCAGTCTTCCTCCGCGCGCCCCGCCAACCATTCATCCAATTTCACAGCTGAAGAAACCAAGTGGCCTCATCTGTGCCCCTCCCCCATCCTCCCTCCTCTCCTCTGGTCTGTGAGCTGCACTCCCTAGAGGTGGAAGATGCCCAGTACTCAGCTCCTCCTCTTCAGCACCGAGCACACGCCTGCCTAGGACACAGAGGTGCTTCAGAACGTTTCATCTTAACGTGTCTCCTCCCCTGGCCCCTTTAGGTGAGCAGGTGGTTTGCAGTCACAAGCACTAAAGGACTGCACCATGCTGGTGGTCTCCTTACACGGACACACTTCTGTCCCTAGAGGAAGCCCTCCAGTTATCCTGATGAGACTGTGCCACTCGCCTGCTCCTGAGACCGTGACTGGTACAATGCTGAACAAGAAAGTCGTTACGTTACATCAACAACACAAGAGCAACAAGCTGCACCATGTTTACTAACTCAATACAGGTCTTATTTGTTACCTGCTAACATGCTACCCACCCAACCATTACCCTGTTCTTCAAATGGCAGCTTCAGGAGGACTGACATTACTCTACCCCCGTGATACCATGCAGAGGGCCTGGCATCTGTAAGACATTCAGATGTTTGCCAAATGAAAGAATGAGTGAATGAATAAATGAACAAACAATATGGTAAAATATTTGATGGGGGAAAAAAGTTAGAAAAGTGAATGTGAAGTAGGATTGCCATATGGCTGTGGAAAGGGAGGAAAAGACCATAAAGCTTGGATTTTATTGTTGTTATGTAAAGACTGTGGGTGGATTTTTAATTTTTAATTTTTCATTAAATTTGCTTTGTTTATACAGCAATAAAACTTTAAAGAGAAAATGTTTTGTCGCTGAAATCTGGAATGGAAATGGAAATGTAAAAGAAGATGCATTTATGTATTTTGCGGGTACAGAAACAGAATACATTTAAAATAAACTTTTTCAAGAAACAACCAAATAATTAAACATTAAAGTTGACTGTCCCTCTGTACAAAGCTACTGACGAGTAATTAAGACTTTCTACTGTGTTAAGCAACCATTTGCCTAACCAAGTTGCCGTAATCATGCTAAGACAGGGCAGATGGAATCCAATGATATGTAAACGGGGCATGGTCCCCACGCAGATTTATGGTCCACATTTTCCCCATCAGCGCTTCTTCCCAAGCGAGGGAAAACATGGCTATATACATTTATTTCTGAACACTTTTCAGATGCTACTAACAAATAGGAGTGGAAACACTCCTAGACAGATGGTAGAGACTTCGATACGACAACCAGGTCAACCAAAAGCAGCTGTGTGACCCTATGCATTTCCTTTATGCATACAATCAAAGGTCCCTTGGCAAACCTGGTCCCTCCAGCTCTGACATTCTACATTCACTACCCTGTGGTGTTAGGATAAGTGATGGCGGAGGTGGAACATCAATATAATTTCTTGGATGTTCCCCAGGCACTGTCAACTCAACAGGCCCAATGCCAAGCTCTCTGCCTCACCCAGAAACGTGTTCCCCTCTGCTCCCCGCACGCCTTGTCTGTGCATGACTCCACCATGTGTTCTTGTGCCCAAGGGAGCAACCTGGCTGTCACCCTGGATTTCTGCCTCTCCTTTACCACCCACATCAAAAATAGTCAAACTACCTATTTTACCTTATAATTCTCTCTTGCACCTGTGCAGTTTTCTCCATGACAGGCTCCATGGTCTCTCTCCTGGACCACTGTCATACACTCCTCCTCTGGTGAGTGCTGCTCACTGTCTTCAGTTAGTCTGTGCTCAACTGCAGCCACAGGGGTCTCCTTAAGGCATTTCACACCCCTGCTTAAAACCCTTCAACTACCTCTTGAGGACCATGCCCTGTAGGTTGAGGTTGGTGCACAAGGCTCTTCGTATCTGACCCCTCTCAGCCTCACTTCTTGCTGCTCCCTCCATTCACTCCACCCTCAGTCAACTAAGCTACAGGTGCCCTTCCCCCATGTTTTCCTGGAACATAACATGCTCTCTGGCTAGAATGTTCTTCCTTTCCCCCACTTCTCCTCCTTGTTGCAGCTACTTCCTACTACTGGCCCGGCAGGCTCCAGCCTTCCCCAAAAACCTCTTTAGGACTGCAAATCTGGGCAAGGTGACCTTCCAGCGCCTTCCTGTAGCACCTGATACGAATTACTCAGAACTGTAGATTTCCTGTTTTCTGAGGGGAAACGTAAGGGCAGAGACTTGCTCATTGTTTATTTCCAAAGACTAAAACAGTGTTTTGCCCATGGTAATTAATACAGGTTCATGGATGAATGTGTGAAAGAGAATGAAGGCGAGAGAAGGGAAGAGGGGGGGTGGAAAGCCACCGATTTTTAAGCAAGCCCAAGACGCTGGACAACACAGGACATGTATTAGTCACGACCCCAAGGAATCCACAAAGGCTCTGGCTGCACACGCTTAGATCTTTCTAGTTCTCTAACTTAGGAGATGAAATAAATTCCAGAGATCACTGTATCTATTTGGGGAGATTTGGTTTTTTAACTATTTTTAATTAATTTTTTAATTTTTTATTTACAGTGGCATTCAATATTATATTAGTTTCAGGTGTACACTTATCGGACATTTATATAACTTATGAGGTGATTTCCCCCAGCAAGTTTACCCACCTGAAACCATAGTTATTGCAATATTATTGACTATATTCCCTATGCTGTACTTGACATCCCTACCATATCTATTCTTTTGTATTCAAGCTGTATTACCCTCAAGTCATTTCAGATGATTCCAAGCTCATCTTTAAAAAACACCCATAACTACATTGAATTTTTTTTTTAATCCTCACCTGAGGACATTTTTCCATTTTTTTGTTCAGAGAGAGCGAGAGGAAGAGAGAGAGGGAGAGAGAAACATCGACGTGAAAGGGACACATCGAGTGGCTGCCACCAGCACAACCCAACCAGGGCCGGGGACAAACTGCGACCAAAGTACGAGCCCTTAGCGGAAACCAAACCCGGGTCTCTCTGGACCACAGGCCGACTAACCACGGAGCCAAACTGGCCAGGGTCAATTTTTTTTTTTTTAATTTGAAGTTAAACTCCCAAAGTTATGAAAACTGACAATCATTCTGAATGTTTAGAACCATTTCAAACTAGGTACCCTCCACCAAACAGGTCATGCATGTACTTTGCACTACAGAAACTTTCCTCTTGCCGTTCTCACCTCTACCCTGAGCTCCGCCCATCTCAAATATAAACTCATCCACGAAGGCTCCCCTGGCCACCCACGTCTGTGAGTACAACAGCAGAGTAGGCTCACCGTCCTCCCACAGGCTTTCCCAGAGATGTTCCCGTGAGCTACAGGTTCATCTGCAACCGCTCCCATATACATTGTTACTCTGTAGTCACACACATTCTGTGTGTGTGTGTGTGTGTGTGTGTGTGTGTGTGTGTGTGACTTATCTATAGTTAATGTTTGCCCAAGGAATCTAGCTCAAACTCCTAGCCAATGGGTCTTTATTAACAATAAGTAACAACTGAATGATACCAGGCTACTCAGATTGGGGGTGAGACTTTTGGAATCTCACACACAAGTATTCCAGGGTGATGCATATGTTTCATATATCTTTCATTCCAGAAGTTTCTATATCTCAATTCTAATGGACATTTTTGCTGTCAAAACTTGGAAGGGTCCAAGATACCTGCTGCTTGGAATTTGAGGCTCCCAAGTGAACTATAACCACAAACCTGTGGTTGAAGAAGAAAAAAACACACACACATAAAAGCAACACACTGAGAGGCAGCATGGTGGTGGGGAGAAGTCTTGGGAGAGATAGGGGCTGTCTTCTTTTTTTTTATCCTCACCCGAGGACATTTTTCCATTTTTTGTTCAGATAGAGTGGGAGGGAGAGAGAGGAAGAAAGAGAGAGAGAGAAACATCGACGTGAAAGGACACATCGAGTGGCTGCCACCCACACGACCAACCAGGGCCGGGGACAAACTGCAACGGAGGTACGTGCCCTTAGCGGGAACCGAACCCGGGTCTCTCTGGACCGCAGGCCGACGCTCCAACCGCTGAGCCAAACTGGCCAGGGCGGGGCTGCCTTCTAACCATCCCTCCCCTTCTTCCCATCTCCCAC